GGTATCCAGAAGTTGCCCTGGCCGAGCCAATCTCCTGACATGAACCTCATCGAAAACCTCTGGGCCATACTCGACCAACAAGTCAAGAAACAACCAGAAAAACCAACTTCGAAGAGCGATCTACTCCAAGTTTTGAAGCAAGAGTGGGCGAAAATCCCACACTCTAAAATTAACAAGATGATTCTCACGATGCCCCAAAGAATCAACGAACTCCATAAAGCGAAAGGAAGATCTACTAGATATTAATTAAATTATAAATATGTCAATTCATGTGAATATAACTGAAAAATTTCACTTTATCTGAAAAGATGGTGTCTATTTACTTGTGTCCACGCTTTGTATTTTGTGATACTATCCTTGAAATTTCTAGTACTTTTAATTCCCATTCATCTTAGTCTTTCCCTATGTGTCTCCCAGATTAAAGGTTTAAATTACAATTTTCCAAATGTTAACTTATAAATGTACTGTAAATTACTCATATACAAGTGACATGGGAGCAAAAGTGTTAATGAAGCTTCCTCAATTAGTAAAAACTGAGAACAAAAGAATAACATGTACATCGACTTTCAACTGATTTAAACAGAATCAGATGAAGATACTGATCAAATGTGGATAAAATTTTTAAATACATTTTTAAATATTCAAGATAGGAATGTTTCTTATAGCCAAAAAAAGGGTGACTGCAAGTAAAAAACCAGGTTGGCTCACAGAGGATATAAAAGATAAAATTCAAAAAAAGCTTTGTAAACATAAGATGTTTAAATTCACTACAATGAAAGAGAGTTGTCACAAGGGAAATTAGGAAATAAAAACTATAAAAAAAAGGTTGGCTGAAAAAGTAAAAATAAATAGTACGGATTTCTTCAAATACATTAATCAGAAGCAAAATGTTAGGATGGGAGAAAAGCCTTTAAAGGATGACACCTGAAAGCGAATATCTGATGATTATAGGATGGTTGGTTTATTCAATTCTACTTTTTCTTCAATTTTTACAAATGAAGATTTAAGCAACATGAACAGTTATGATATGGAAACAAGGTTGAACAAGATAGTCACATTAATTCTGAGCTTGGTAAGAAAAAATGGGAAAGTTTAAGGAATGATAAAGCATCTGGGCCAGATAATATTTCCCCAAAAGTTTTGAAGGAGGTTAAGTATTGGATATGTGATCACTTGCTATCATCTTTTTCTAAGTCCTCGAATAGTGGGCAGGTTCTAGAAGATTTGAAGTTGGCTTATGTTACTCCTCTTTTCAGTGAAGGTGATAAAAATTGTTCCAGTAATTATAGGCCTATTCATCTTGTATTAATGATGGGAAAATTTTTTGAAAGTCTGATAAAAGATGATTTACAAAGTCATTTAACGAAGTTTAACACTTTGTTGGATAGTCAGCGTGGTTACACTAAGAAAAAACCTTACCTTACTAATCTTTTGACATTCTTTGAAGAGGTTACTCTTATGTAGATGAGGGTACAGGTTGGATCTTCATAAAGCATTTGACAAGGTATCATATAAATGGCTTATTAATAAGTTATTTCTTTATGTGTGGATAATAGGTTGGCTCACTGGATAGAAAACTGGCAAGATGGAAAAAAGCAGGGAGTTGTTATAAACCGACTTCAGTCATGCAGATTTAATGTTACAAGCACTGGAAGCTCAAGGCTCAATATTAGGATCTTTACTCTTTTTGATATACATCAATGACTTTGATTAATGAATGGTCAATAGAGTATTTAAATTTGCTGATGATATTAAAGTTTTTGGTGTTGCTGGTTGTGAGGAGGATGCTATTGCCTTACAAAAGGATTTGGAATATTTGTTAAATTGGGTAAATAAAAGGCAGATGGCTTTTAATTATATCAAATGCAAGGATTGAGGTAAAACATGACAAGTATACGTTTCACAAATACATCATTTATTCATGATCATGGTTTTGCCAGTAAAGGCATTATCAGGTAATTCTGTAATTACGGAGTTTCACTAAGTACCAATGGTTTCAAATATCAGTTATAAAAAACAGCTAATACAGCAAGATTAACCATCTTATACAAAACTGAAAACAGTACCTAGCAACTCAATAACAATTCTGTAATTGTGGAGTTTCAACAAGTACTGACAGTTTCAAGTACCAATCATATAAATGCAAGGTATTGCATGTGGGATATCAATCTGAATAAGTATCATTTTGGTGGGAACAACCTTAACAGTGTTACGGAAAAAATATCTTGGTGTTCTAGTAGATCAATCTCTTAAGCTATCCAAGCAATGTGCTGTTGCTGGTGGCAGGGCTAAAAGGATTTTTAGGCTGAACCTGCAGAAATAATTAATACAAACCTAAGGAAGTTATAATGTCATTGTATAGGTCATTGGTTAGGCCACAACTGGAGTATTGTGTTCAGTATTGAACTCCTTACATTAGAAAGGACACTGATATGTTGGAAAGGGTTCAGAGGACGGCTGCTAGGATGATACCTGAGATGGTAAGATTATCATATAAGGATAACTTAAGATCTCTGAACTTGTTTTATCTTGCAAAAGGAAGAGAGTTAAGGGGATCTGACTGAGATGTTTAAGGTTGTTAAGAGAATCGACAGTGTTGATGCATCATCTTTTTTCAAATTTAATGGTGAAAACAGTAAGAATAGGGGACAGTCATTTTTAACTAAGAAAGCTTTATTTTTCTAACAGAGTGGTTGGCCCCTGAAATGGAATACCTTCAGATATGGTAGATTCAATTACTGTATGGGAGTTTAAGGGGAAGGCTTGATAAAAATTTGAATGATAAGGGTTGGCTTTAAGTTTGCTTTTTAATTTAGTGGTCTAAGTGTACTAAAAAGCCTCTTGTTGTCCTTTAATGTGATGTTTAAAAAAGGATCTTTGCAGAGAGGAGAATAAGTCAATGTGGCAGAACTCAGTTGCTAGTAGCACAACTAACAGTTTTAAACATATTTATCAAATGTGAGCATTTACCATTAAATAAAGGATCATTAGCAGACCTAAATTACTGTTGTCCAAACCAAATAACTCAAGAACAGAAAGCTACCTTAAAAAGGGAAGGAAGTTTACTGTTTTATGAATAATGTTTGCTTTACATTTGCTGAATGTCCTATATAACACAAGGCTTCTGTTTGAGCAACTTAAAAGCCAATGTACATTATATTCTCTTTTTCTTTTACCAACAAAGGAAGCTTTGCTGAAACATCTTGATATAGGATTTCCTTTCAGTTGCCCAAGAGAAGTGCTAAAGTTCTTCAGAAGTTTTTATAAATATGTACAACTAAATGTTTCTTCCTGAAGGCTTTTAATACTGAGACAAAGTGAGAGTTTAGTGAAATTTTAGCAGAAGAATAATATGGGCGTATGTACAACATACACAACCATTATCATGGTTACTAGCTCTTGCAAGATGACAACTTAATACATGTGATTGTTTAACGAGATATGTAAAAGAAGAAATTCAAGGAAACTAGCATATAGTGCAAGCAGCAAGCCCAATAAGACAAGCTGTTTACCTCTCATCACATACCATCATAGCACATAACTTGCTACTGGCTCTCAACATATGTAATTTTGGAAGAGTATTATATCTTTTCAACCTTATTACTGTGTGATAAGACTTAAGAATGGTAATATTATAAACACATCTGCTCTCAAGGATATTCATTAATGTCAAGTCCCATACTTTTCAAATTAGTTAATTATTTTCATGAGATTTATTAAAGAGATTGTAATTTCAATTAATTGATTATTTTATGAGACATATACTTAATGTTCACAGGTAAATCACCCAGCTCTAACCAACACACCAAGTGACTATCTCGTACTGACTTGGACCACTGTTTATTCAAAACAGGTCCAACCACCTAATAATCATTTTTCAAACTTACTCTTAAAATGAATTTTAAAGTGTTATAAATTGTTAAAAATGGATTGCATTAATTTTGTATAATGCTTAAATAACTTGTTCTTATGTGAATAACAGCCACATGATCTCTACCAGTGTTAAGGTTCAGCTTAAACATAGCACATTATTGAAATTTAATTTGGTATCCAAGTTTCTGTATTAGTAAAATAATAAATGAAATTAGCATTGATTATTTTATGCTCTCCAATGGGCATTTAATGTCATCTTTTTCATGTGATATACAAGTAATACATTTCTTTCTTTAATTCATTTTATAAAGAAATATTAATTTTAAAGATTTGTTACACTTGATTTTGGACACTTGTGGTAATGAAGTAAATAATATTAATCCACTGCATTATTTTTGTCAAATTTTAACAAAGAAGCCTTGTACATAATTAATTACATTAGGACTATACATAAAATAAAGGTTAAATGTTATTTTTTAACACAGCTACTTGAAATGGAGGTGGGTCAATTTGAAAGATGGTTGAAAGCCAGAGTTGGAACTATTACTTTTGTATGTACACCTTCTTAACAGAAAAATGTAAAATGGCCAGCAGAGAAAAGAGTTTATCATGTAAACAACGTGCTATTTTTATCTTAATCAAAGAAACTACATCAAAAAACTCTGTCAAGTTTTGTTTAAAAATTATTTACATTTCAGTTCTGAATTTTGAACTTACCTGTTTATTTTCTAAAAATTTGGGATTCACATGTATGCTAGGTTCTGGCTGAGCAGTGATGGGCCATGCTGGATCTAGCTGTTTTATTCTTACATCAATAGCATACAACTTTTTGTTAGGAAGTATATCACTCCATGTCTGTCGAAGTTTGAAAAGTTGAACCCTGGTTTTTTCATCACCCTAATCAGATATTATGTAAGTAATTTGCAATTTTAAGAACAAACTAGAAACAAATCATTTGCTGAGTATTAAATACAATTCTAAATTATACTTCTAAGCTTTGAATATTATGATTTAAAAATATCTTTGTCTCAAAACCTTGAAATGGTTCCTACTTTCACAAGTTATTTCATGCAAGTTCCCAAGTTATTTTATTCAATTACATAGAATGACATTGACATCTGCAGACTAATTATTTGGTGTATGTCCTGACAAGGACAAGAAAAAGTTGTGAATATTAACATCAACAAAAAGAAAAAAAAAACAATTTGGTAGGTAAGCAAGAGAGTAGAAAATTGGAAAACATTTCAGGACATTTTTTTATTGTACATTTATACAACAAGAGTGAAGTGTAAATGCAGCAAAAATATCAATAGTGTGTCAATCATAAAATTTAATTTGTTAGTTACACTATGACTAGTGTTATTACATGAATAAAAACATTTTAGTCACACTTTGCCTGTAATTGTCCCAATTTGTCAAACAAAAACCTGACTAATTAAACTGCTTACATCTTCATAAATTAAGCTTTAGCTTTGAGTTAGGATAAATTTTTGCTTAAGAGGTTTAAGTTTTTATGGCTGCCATAAACCACTATGATCAACAGAATTTCATATTTGTTACACAAATTATGGGTATATTCTATGCCAAAAAGATTTATATATCTTAATAAGATACAGGTGTGTTTACAATACTTTAAACAAACTGATTTGATTAATTAGCTTCTTATGTTCAATAACAAATGTCTGCAAAATTAAATGACATCAGTGGTAGTACATTGTTTACTGCTTGCTTAGTAGATATAAAATATTTTTCTATTTTACAAATATCTGCTACAACGAGTCAAATGGTCTCAGCAAGTCTAAAAACCAAATTTTAACCAATGAATATGATAGGTATTATACACAAAATAAATGCAGTAAATATGTTAAGTGCACATACAAATATTAAAATTTGTTAGTTTTACTATGAAATTAGTAACAACAAAAAGATACTGATTATACTTGGCCCTTAACTAACAGAACTGTGACAAACTGCTTTCATCATCAAAAGGTAAGCTTCATCCTTGACTTTGAATGAAACAGCTACCAACCATCACACCTCTTTTAGAAAATTGAAAAGATTTCTTAGGTACTTTCTCGTATGTTAACTATCATATGACTACATCTTTTCATTTATAGTTGTTATGCAATAACTTGACATACTGTATTACCAGTCTATTTTTTACATGCATTAAATGGGATGTTTTACAAAATGGAAATGGGTAGTCCTAAAGATAATTTGACTGCAAGTAGTAGTAGTAGCCAACTTGGCTGGCCAGGAGCAATTCTGACTAACCAGAAGCAACTACCAGCAGGAATTTAAAGGTTAAATTTATAAAAACTGCTATTGGGTTCTTGTCCAAATAGAAGTTTTCAGAGTTGTGCAATAGTAAAAGCATTTTTTTATTGTTTATCTTGGTCCTGTTGTCTTAAGCACAAATCACACTTCTTCAACTTAATATAAATCACATCGTCACAGTTTTTATTAGCAATTTCCAATTTATAATTAGCGTCTAAACCACTACTACATTTCCCAGTCCCAACCAGCCTGAAGAGCCCTAGTATTGAGAGAAAGGCATTGTCGACTCTGGAAACAGCAAATTTGATGTATTTAAAATATTATACATACGCTCTCTTTACTTTAACTAAGAAGTTCTTATTAACACCTGCCACACGAGCCAGTCCGCCATCTTGATGTGGATAAAAAAGAATTAGTTATTCCAGAAAGTTTTGGGATGTTTTGAACAGACAAAAATAAGACATTTGGCACTATTTTCAATGTCTAGGTCAATGGCCCAGAACCATGACCATGAGAGCCAACATGGAGAAGTTAGCTTGTATATGTAAAGTAAAACAATGTAGCAATGAAACATGCTTAAAATGTTCTAGATGTGGTTGTGAATGTAATGGTTTAAGTATAGCAATTAAGTTAAGCTGTGGGTCCAGGTCGGATGAGGGAAGAACTTGAACAAAGATATTCCAATTGATTTGAAATACCAGCAGAATCAGAGATTTATCAATTGATTACTGCATTGAATTGAAACATAAAAACACAGGCACAATAGGAACAATGTAGCAATAAAACATGCTTGAAATGTTCTAGATGTGGTTATGAATGTAATGGTTTAAGTATAGCAATTAAGTGAAGCTGTGGGTCCAGGTCGGATTAGGGAAGAACTTGAACAAAGATATTCCAATCAATTTGAAATACCAGCAGAATCAGAGATTCATCAATTGATTGCTGCACTGAAGTGAAACATAAACGCAGGCACAATAGTATTGTTATCTTCAAAAGGTATAATCCTTACAGATTTCATGAATATATAGTTTTCCTCATTTCAGAAGTTGTGCCAAGTTTCATTCATTCAGATCTATTGAAATAACTCTAAATCATCAGTTTCCAGAATGACCCTGACATTCTCCACGTATGAAATTTGATAAGGCTTATCAAATTATGACAAGCAGTAAATGAGTACAAAGTTCGTAACTAAAATGATAATTGTTTTCTATATTTCTTTACTTACTGTTCTATGTTTTTAGAAAAATAACTGAAATTTAAGAACTTATTTGTAAATAGTATAATAAAAGTAATTTTAAATTTAAGATTAAAAATACTTTTATGCATCAGAAAATTGTCATATTTCACATGAAATATAACCTCCTAATAATCTCCAGATAATTATCAAATGTTTTTTTTTAAAGAAACTATATTTTATCAGTTATTTTCAATGTTGTATTTCTGTATGGGTTTGGTTCATTTGACCAACCTTGTAATCATCGTAAAGGAAATGGATATAAATTATGCTTCAATTATTCTAGAATGAATAAAAATTATAACAAGAAACCACAAATGTTCAGTCTAAATAGCTTAAATCTTGTAACATTATACATATATAGACTATTGTTACTTTATTTACTTTTCTGCTGTGTCTGACTAACATTACAGAAGTTGCAAGAGTGTAAAACTGGCCTTTACAAAGTGGCCAATCTTGGCTTTGTTCTAGTGGACCAGTATTTTGTAAAATATAGTCACATTTTGGTTATAATAGATTACATACATGTGTGTGTGTGTGTGTGTATATATATATATATATATAGCTGCAACACCATCTTAATGGGAAAACGTATGCAAATATGGAAGGTGTTAAAGAAGATGGACATGTTTTTTGCTTCAAAGTCAAGTAATTTCTTTAATCAGGGAATTATCAACCTGATAAGAATGGAGACTATTTCATTTACTAAATGTTTTGTTTTGACATACAAGTTATTGTAGATTTTCGTCTGAAAAAAGCGACATTAATTTCTGGACGACGTAATAATTTGTTGTATTTCTATAACAAAAAAGTGTAATTTATCTATTTCCTATTTTTATGGTGCTTATGAGGTTGTTCAGATTGACCAAACTCATATTAGATAATAGATAAAACAAAGTTTTTTCTTAAAAGAAAAATTTGATACTTATCTGAAAGTTATAAAAATTTTGCATGTGAAATTTGCAAATTTTCTGATACATAAGAGTATTTTTAATTTAAAAATCAAAATTACTTTGCATGTTGGATAGTCAACATTTGAAAAGAAAAATGCATGAGAAAATCATTACTTAAAAAAATCTTAAACTACATTTTTTTTAAATTGGATTTTTTTGTGTGTATGAAAGCTTTGTGATGTTTATTAATAATATACCAAACTTCATGAAAATATGTTTACTGTATTAAAAGTTATAGCATGAAATCTATAACAAGCACAAAATGGTCACAAGTATGGTCCCTTGAACCTGTAGTGAGAGAGTTAATATTACTATAATAAAACCATATTCTTAATTATAAAAATAATTTTTAGTAATAACCAAAAACCCCACAATTATGGAAGCAAACATTTCTTTATTCATACATTTTGGAATTTACAAAATTTGTCAGTGAACTATAACGGAAATAAATTAGAAGCATGATATAAAATACAGAAATATTACATAAATATATGTTAGAATCTGTAATATAGAACAATAAGATGTACCAAAATTCCTTACATTTATAATTTGGTGGGACAAAAATTGCAAGTTAAAATAAAGTTGGAACTTGGATTACTATTCAAGATTGGGAATTCAACAAACGGTGAAATGAAAACCAGTGTAGCGGGGACCAACTACCTAAATTGTATTAATCTGATTGATAATCTTAATATTTAAGCTATCATCACCCACCCCCCCTTTAACACTCCCAATATATTAAATTGAATAAACCAATTTTAACAAAAATAACACCAATGAACCTGACAAAGTTATCTTTAATTTTAGTGATGTTGAACTACGAGAAACAATTAAAATGTTGCAGCTACATTTTCAAGTTTTATTTACTTCCCTGGAAATTAAAATTTTTGGACTCTATATATTTCCTTTGAATATACTTATAAAACTTTAACATTTCTGTCCACCTTCAATAAGAACCACAACCAACACTTGGATAACTTTGTAAAAACTAGGTTTAAAAGTGTTGCTCAACAGTCTTTATTCTATAACTCTCATACAACTTCTCCCACCATCACTCATAGAGTTTATTGCCTACCATGCAGTTATTGAAAACATTTTTCATTATCTGACCTGTCAGAGGCAAATTAATTATTTTTAATTGTGACTACACTAATAAAATGTTGTTACCTCTTAGAAATCAAGATGATCATCTTCAATTTTTCACAAAACAACCAACTGTTAATTTAACGTTTCTCGGCAAATAGAATATTTCCTACATTTTACACTGATATATCCCCCCCACCATAAAAGCCTGGTGTAAATTTATTGTATTTTCTATATTAATTCAGCATAATAACTCCTTTATAACCCAAAAATCTTTATTGGTCCTATTCCTGTTCTCTAGAAGATAAAACTATCTTAAAACATGACAGACTACAATTTACAAGAACAAAAGCAGCAACTGTAAACCAAAGATCTCAATAAAAGCCTTTTTTTTTCATTAATGAGGGTGTGGATTATATATTACGTGTTTCAAAGATAATGTTAAAATAAAGTTTTACCTAATATAATACAATGTGTGTGTATATCCCTAACCTCCAGAAATTAGTAGCAAATAAAAAAAAACAGGAACCCCATGGAATAAAACTAACATACTTCTATGTTCCAATAAGTTTTTACTGAAAGGTTTGGAATCTGTGCACCAAAGATTTCAGACATTCTACAATGCTAGCATTCTCAAGAATTAAAAACCTTTTGCCCACCCCTGTGTCTTCATGGGTTATTTTTAAATACACTTGTTGTGACTTTAAAGCCACCTACTTTTGCAAAACTAAATTGAATTATCCAGCAGTGCTGGCCACAAACTCTTAAATCCTTCGGAATTTCCAATGCACATCCAAAGCAAAAACAATAATTACCCTACCTACATAAACAAGTTCAAAATCCTTACCTCAGAACTGTCCATAAATGAGCTTTTAATGAAAGAACATTTATCAATTAAAGCACACTCCTAATCCTCAACAGTAAACTAAATTCCTTCCAGCTATCTATTTTAGTTTACAATTTTCTATTCCACCAAGTCATAATTTAAAGCAATTATACATCTAATCACTCTTAATTACAGATCTTAATATATATTGATGCAAATTACTATTTGTGCATTTCATATCACACTTTTGTTTTCAAAATTATTAATTCCATATCATTAAATTGAAGTTAATATAGCTGTGGTGTTTTTGTTTATAATTAATACTGAACAGCATAATTAGCAATTAAGGTAAATCAGTTGATTAATATACAAATTACTATGCTGCTTAGCCCATTGTTTTCCTGTGGCATTCACCACATTTGTTTGATTACCAAGTGTTGATTGCTTTCAATACAGGTCTATACCTGTATACTCATAAAGTTCAAATAGGTACACAACTGTTACAGTTAGGGTAATGGCAACAACCACTTATAAAATCACTAACTGTTGTTATTCATACCTTGCATGAAACAAATCATGTAAGCACTACATACTTATGAAATATGATTGTATAAGAAAACACAATTTTCTTTATTTTTGCATGTAAGAATTTTTTGGGCTGTTAAACTTGGTGTACACAGTTACAGCCAGGCTACCTAAAAAAAATTTTGATTACCTATGAGACCACATATCATATAACTTATATTAGGCATACAAAAGTATTTTTTGATGTTCAGAGAGTGTGTGAATATCTATTTTTTTTTTGTTTTACACAAATAAATCATAAGGATCAGTACCATTCCTCATCCAATGAAAACACACTAGAATCAACTCAACATACATAACTCTTTTCAGAGCATGGTAAGTTCTTTCTTAGAGTATTAATTTTCTAACAATTAGTTGATTCATGGTTTTAACATCATTAGCTGAAATAAGGCTAAATGCATGATTAATCATCATGAATAATCACCTAAAAATATTCATTAAGTATCCCTACCACTTTTCTTATATTAGATTACTGTCTTAAGTGTTATCTAAGTTTAAAACACGGATTATCTTTCCATAAATAATATTGAAAATCCCTTTACAAACAAAAATTAAGTTATTTTTGATAGTATTTTATTTACATATGAACATTCAAAAAGGAATTTTAGGATTTTCTTCTTTTTTTTCAGAGAAATTTTATACATACTAAGTCAGTTATTTAAAATTAATTTATTACAAAGGTTTTAAAAGTAAAATAAAACTTCAGATCCCCTTCCTTTTCAAAAATATTTTCTTTCTAACCTTTTCAAAAACTCCACAAAAGTCTGATACAATGTTTTGTGTAAAAAGAGGCAAATAATCACCACCAACATTCTTCATAATAGAATCTATCAGGTACAGCACTGGCAACTTTGTCTCTGGCAGAACCTAAGTATATGGTAAAACAAAACTAAGTCAGTGAAACTGGAACATATCTTTGAACATTCATCAGTCTTACCCTAGAACAATAGGATGTCATCAATACTTCTAACATACTCTTCCAGAACAAGTTAAACACTGGTTAAATGCCCCACCTGATAAACCTCTTTCCAGTTGGGATTTTTAAGCACCTTTTGATACCAATGCAACTAAGTGAAATGTTCAGATTTAAAATTTCTTAGTATTCAGTAATGTAACGTTGTGGTTTTCATTATAAATTTACCAAAAAGCCTCCAACTTATCATCAAAAACATTCAATGTCTATTATGCTTTACAATTTGAAGTGTCTGAATTTCAGAAAATAGTTTAATTTTCGAGTTATTTTTATGAATACAAATGCTGGAGTGGACAATATAGTGCCACTGGCTAGAAAAAGTTTCAATAGAATTGTACCTTTAAAAAAAATTATTTCCAGGTAATGAAATAAATATACTTTGAAAATCGTAAGAATTAAGAATTTCTAAGTCTAAAAAATAAATACCTGTACTTTCAAAAATAGAAACAATTTTTCAAACCTAAGAATATTGCAACATATAAAAAAAATTGGATTAAAGGTCAATTAAAGGAAAGAATGATGCTTTGTTTAATGCAGTAATTATAAACAGGGCTCATCAGTATTTTTGTGAAAAATGCAGATGCATCATGATATACTGAAAAAACACGTCAAGTTCAAGCAGGTAAACAAGTGTAACCCAGTTACAGTTTGGGTAATAGCAGCAACCACTTATAAAATCACTAACTGTTGTTATTCATAATCTGCATGAACCAAACATGTAAGCATTACATACTTATGAAACTAGAACACACACACACACAAGAACATTGTGCACCAACAAACCACCAAGCTCTATGTGGTAGATTTTGGGGTAATACTTTTTTAGTTCAAACATTAGTAATTAATTTTTTGCAACTAAAGCCATACAACTAAGACTGTCAAATTCCATAGATTTTAGAAAAATGATTTATTCTGCCTGTGCAAATTTATATTACAAGGGAAATATTAAAAGTATTTTCTCTTTTATATCCCACATTTCAGATAGCATACATTTTTACTTTGTGGGAAGCAAGGTAAACCAAACACACAAGCAGTCTGAGACCAAGTTCTCCTACACAGATAAGGAATTTACTCTCCAGCAATAACATGTTGGTCCAATAAACAAGAATTTGATTGTTTCAATGGCAATTTAATTGACATGTGTATGGTGTATAATGCTGATTTCATCAGTAAACTGAATGTTAAACAGAACCAGTAAACTTACTAAAGAGTAACTACGTACAGATAACATAGTGACCTAATATTAATTTTATATTTATATTACCCTTGCCTTCAAGATTTCTTTTAATAGATTTGTCACAAAGCTATTTTTTTTGTAAACAGACTAACTAGAGGTGTAGAATGTAAGAAAAAACTTCTTGTCCAAAGAACAAAATTTTAAAAATCTACATGTCTTCTATCCATCCCAGAAAACACACAAATATGTAGAGTACAATTTTTATAATTTTGCCTTTTAACAGTGAACACAATGCCATTGGCAGTTAATTTTTTTTATAATGGCATGTACTGCTTCATGCATTTAAGCTCTTCATATATATACATTCATGTATTTTATGGTTTTTAAAATTTAGTCATTAGGATCTTGCAGTGTAGCACAAAGAATACCACATACACAAACTGATAAAAGAAATCATGGTTTACATTATTATTGTATTTATAGCAAAGCTACTATACGGCTACCTGCATGCATAATTTTGAACTACTGAACACTATACCACCCATACTAAGGGATTGACTGTCTCTCTTATAACACATCCATAGCTTAAACTGCAAAGAATATTCTGTGGTATTTCATGGATTTGAAACCAGCTGGCCAGCTCTACAATCAAGAGCTCTACCACACAGCTGAGCTTTGCTATTAACTGAAATGGTGTTTAACCCTCTCACTACGAATCTTCCTATGGTCAGGAGTCAAAGGGCATGTCATCATGTTTGGAGCCTTACATTCAAACTTTTATTGATTTACTACTTTATGAATGTATACCAACAAGTTTGTTATCACATTCTAGATTGTAATTCAAATTTTAGTATTATACATTAGTTAATTTCTTAATTTAAAAGTAAATATTAAAACAAAATCCCTAAATATCAATTTTTGGGTGTCACGTGGTATGTTGAATACAGCTTTGGTTCAAATTAGATGTTTGTAATGTCCAACTAAAAAATTTTATAAATTATAATCATAAATTACTGATATTGACAAGTTCAAAAATAAAATTAGAACCTATGTTTTTATTTGTTAAGATATCACTGCACTTAACGAATCAAACACAGTGGGCCACACCCACCTCTTTCATTTTCGGAAATACTTGCTGACGTACATGTACTTCTGTCTATGACATGTAATAACCAATCGAAAGCTCAAAATGTCCCCCACATGGTTTTCTAAGGCTTTAGTGATATTGACAGAGTAATTTGTAATATTTGGTTGTTTCAAAATGTATATATAAAACATAAAATTTTTTCTTTTACATCCATGCAAAATTTGACAAGGCTTAGTAACTTACAGCAGGCAAAAAAGTGCAAAGTTTGTAAGTAGAAAAAAAATTGTTCACTATACTTCTTTCTTTACTGTTCTACACTTTAAGAAAGATAACTGAAATTTAAGAATGTATTTGCAAATAGTAATAATATATATATACCCACATGTAATGTATTATAACATAAATGTGACTGTATCTTACAAAATACTGATTCACTAGAACAAACCGAAGACAGGTCACTTTGTAAAAGCCAGTTTTATACTCTGGGATAGGGTAACAATGTTTTGGGACAACATGGGACCTATTGGTCCATCTTGGCTGTTCCATCCTATAAAATAATTTTTTTTATTTTTTTTAAATCTTAAAGCCAGCCCTTGTCCTTCATAAACTTAACAAGATTTTCTTAAACTCATCTAAATTTATTTCCTCTACAACATCTGAAGCCAACCCATTCCAAAGACCAACCACCCTGTTAGAAAAATGAAACTATCTTAGCTGAAGATGACTCCTACTTTACCCAAATTTATACATGTGCCCCCTAGTCCTACTATTCTCTCTGTTAAATATGAAAAAGATGATGCATCAACACTGTCACTTCCGTGTACAACCTTAAACACCTCAATCAGATCCCCCCTAACTCTTTTTTTTTTTTTTAAGAGAAAACAATTTGAGAGATTTCAGCCTCTCCTAGTATGAGAAACTCTCCATCCCACGCACCAATCTAGTAACCCTTCTCTGCACCCTTTCCAACAATTCCATGTCATTCCTAATGTAAGGAGCCCACAACTGAACATAATTTTCCAAATGTGGCTTAACCAGTGACCTGTACAATGAAATTATAACCTCTTTAGACTTGTATTCAATATTTCTGTAGGTACAACCTAAAGTCTTATTTGCTCTACCACTAACAACAGCACACTGATTGGAGATGGCTTTAGAGACTGATTGTCGATTACATCAAGATCCCTTTCCTTCGTAACGCTGTTAAACTTATTCCCATCCAAATTATACTTATAATTCAAATTATGATAACCCACATGCATTACCTTGGATTTATTGTAATTAAAACCCATCTACCATTTATTTGCCCAGCTCACTAACTGATCTAAATCCTTTTATAAATCAGCAGCATCCTCAACACAGCTAGCAACACCCAAGACCTTAATATCATCTGCAAATTTAAGTAATTTATTGACTATTTCTTCACCTATGTCATTGATGTAAATCAAAAAGAGCAAAGGTTCTAAGACTGAGCCCTGAGGTACCCCATTTGTGACATTAATCCAGATTGACTGAAATCCATTTGTAACAACCCTATGCTTTCTACCATCCAGCCACTCATCTATCCAATTTGCTAACTTATCCACCACACATAGAGAAAATCTCTTTACAAGACTTTTATGTGTCACCTTGTCAATTCTTTCTGAAAATCAAGATACACCAAATCTACATCCTTACCCTCATCTACATAAGTAGTAACCTTTTCAAAGAATGTCAAAAGATTTGTAAGGCAAAATTTTCCCTTTGATTATCCAATAAAATGCTAAACTTTGCTAAATGACTTTCCAAAGCATCTTTTAACACACTTTCCAAAACTTTTCCCACAACTAATGCAAGACTAATGGGTCTATAATTACTGGAACAATTTTTATCACTACATCATTGCAAGTTCTGTAATGTTAGTTAGGCATAACTGAAATGTCAAAATAAAAATAATAAATATATACAGATATATAATGTTATGAGATTTAAACTATTTAGACTAAACATTTTTAGTTTCTTTTTATAATTTTTAGTCATTCTAAAACAAAATAAGCATAATTTATATCTATATCATAATTTTTTTATGGTGGTTACGAGGTCGGTCAAATCGACCAAACCCATAAAGAAGTAAAACAGTAAAAATAAATGATAAAATATAGTTTAAAAAAATAAAATGTTTAATAATTATGTGGAGGTTATTATGAAGTTACAAAGATTTGACAATTTTCTGATGCATAAAAGTATTTCTAATCTTATAATTAAAATTACTTTGCATGTCAAACAGTCAACATTCAATAAGAAAAATGCATGAGCAAATCATTACCTAAAAAAAATCTTAAAACTTAATAAACCATATTAAAAGTTATAGTATGAAAACTATAACAAGCAAAAAAATAGTTACGAGGACAGTCTCTGTTTTATATTCTTCCTAGTGTTGGCAGTCAAACTTTAGTGAGCTTCTACTGAAGACAAAAGCAATAAAATAATATCATTATATTAATAAATGTACTTATTATTATGTGTGTAACAGAAGGTTTGTGAATTAAAGGGGTATGTATAGTTGTGTATATAGCTTTGGGGGCTATGATTAGAAGCATTTTTTAAGTTTATGTTTATGTGATAGGCTTCCTTAGTTCAAAATTTTCAGA